TGAGTTTCAAGAACACAACTACATTAATAATAGACATCTCCTCATACTGTCCCCATTCCGAGTATAATGCATGATGATAGTTTCTATTTAGGATCTTCGGTCTGCATAGACACTAAACATAATCCTGCAGAGCTCAATCATTTGCCCAGATCTAGGCCCATTCGCACTGAACCCTCTGCAACTATTTCGTTTCCTCAGGCCTATTCCAAAGACAGTTCCACAGGAAAAGAAATCACTAAAACTTCTCATAAAGTCCCTGTTTTCTAACAGATGGAAGACATTCACAAACCTCACGTTTGAGGGCTTGGTATTGCTACCTGGAATAAAAAAGGCTAAGTTACCTGAATTTGGCATGAATTCATGGATAAGCTTAATATTTCTGGAGGAGTTACTTGCTCTGAGGATTTCCTGAATTTTCAGGTTGTTCTTCCCTTATCCCTGTGCTGTATCGCCAGGGCTGCCAAGCCTGCAGTCAGGATAAATGGAGACTCCAGCTTTCCAAATGCCAGGTTAGGGGAGTGGAACACAACACAGAGGTGTGCAGAACACCAAACCTCTTGTAAAGCATGGTTTTCACTTCAGTGTGACCGTATGATTAAATCACAAGATACATTACACTAAATACATTCATTTTGCACAACAATAAATGTAACTTTTGTATCAGAGTCATTCTTCACAGACATGGGTAGCTGCAGAATTTTTTCTAAAACAGAAACACTGTGACCACATGCTTTTAAAATTAATCAGTTTGCTCTATAATAACAAATGAACTTCTCTAACAAACTGGCTTACACAGTGTTTTGCTTATTATATATGCCCATAGCTGGGGAACCAGCTGTTTCCACCAGCTGGTATTTCCTGTCTTCTCAAGAGCATTATTTTATCAATTGTTATTTTAAAACACCCACTAGAGAACAAATGCTATGGTTTTCTCAGCCACAATGCTGTTAAGGTATGCTTTATGGCACACGATCTTCCCATTTACAGGTTATCACAGAGGATATTTCATCCTTAATGGAACTGCCTCTTTTTCTTGGAAATAATAAAATCTGCATATCAGCATGTGACATGAAAGAGATAGCATTCCAGTCAGCACCTTTCTTTTTGTATCAAGTTTGACGTTCATAGGCCTTTAATGCATAGAAATAATTCACTTCTGTGCTCTCCTAAAACCTCTACCATTTCATATTGCTGTATGGAAGCTTTTACCACATCATTGATAATCATAGAGATTGTTCCAAACATGTATGATTTACAATAAGGTGTTTTTTGAAGGGTGAAATTAGAGTGCATAAATGTACATTATCTATAGAGAAAAACACACACGTGCTTCTAGAAGCATGAGCAGCCCAGGACACGTGGTGGACAGACCCAGCCGTGCTTCCCAAAGACCCTTGGCTACCAGCAAATCCTTTACAAACCAGGGGCATCTGTCTTCAATCAACTTAATGCTTTCCAGGGTCTTTGTTATGATGTGGAATTTAGGTGCGGGATAATAGGCAGCAAGAGACATCTATCAAGCTTTTTTCACACTGCAGTTTCTCAAAATGTACTGATACCAACCACTGTAGATCAGAAGCAGAACCTTGCAAAGTTAACAGAAGTGCAATTTAACACCAATGGGCAACTGAGCTCCACCACGCTGCTCTCTTTTTTGTCCTTCTTAAATGGGGAGAAAACATGGTTTACAAAGATCATGTATTGAGATAAGGGCAGGAAGATGGCTCACAAGTTTCCACTCTCATTGACCTCTGTGCCTGCAGGGCCACTTCTCTCCCACCTCTCACCCCTCTTTCCCAGCTGCTGTAGCACAGCAGTGTTCCCTTCCTTAAATCCACTCTCCCAGAGCACACCCAGCATTGCTCACGGTGCAGCTCTGGCAGCAGTGGGTTCATTTGCAGCTGCTCTGCTCTGACATGGGGCAATGCTGGACTCTGCTCACAGAAGCCACCCCTGCAGCTCCTCTGCTACCAAAAGCTTGCTATGTAAGCTCCATGCACTGAACCACTAGGCACCACTGTTATAGATGAAGTAACACCTCCCTGATACAGTCAGGAAACCACCTCATTTGCTCTTAGTGAAACCTTACAAGCTGAATTATCGCCACAGAAAAAGGAAAGACTACTTCAGAAGATAAAATAAATTAAAACAACAAAAACACCGCGTTTAACATTGTTATACGCGTATCTCTTAATTTTGATCGTATTTCATGATTATCCTTTCACTGTCACCTCATGTCTAAACACCAACCAGAAGAGCAGCAGCCCTACTCAGGAGGAGGGAGACGCTGTGTGGCATTTCTGTCCCACCAGAGTGACAATGGGGCAGGAGAACTCACCCAGCCCTACTGGCCACAGCCATCTCAGCCTGGGAATTGCATTTCCTGCCCGATGCATTCAAGACACTCCTTGTTTTGCTCTTGCTGATTTACCCCAGTTTTGGCCAAGTTTCATTCATTACTCCTAAGTCATATTGGGAGCTAGGAAATTCATCTCAGCCTACATGGCTAGAAACCCCATAAGAGGAGGAAAGAACCCTGTTGACAAGAGCCATCCATATCAAACAGAAAATCTCCTGCTGTAGTACTATGAAAGAGCCTTGAATTTGGGAACTGCTTGTGTTATGTATCCATCAACTAAAGGACAAAAGGCTGTTGCTTGGAAAACTCCACCTTACTGCTTTGTTCCTGTATGATCTTTGTCAACATTATAATATCCAACAACAAGCAAAAAAACAGCTGCAAGACCTGAATATAACAAGGTGCTGCTAGAAATTCCTACTGGAGCATGGAAGCCATAGAGAACAGGTTTTTTATTTGCCTGCATATAGCGAAGTAGTTGCTATATATAAAAATTCCTGCAAAGAAAAGTTCTCTTTGGTATCTGCCATCAAGATGAACAGGAGCCCTGCCTAGAGTGGCTGCTCCTCACAAAAGCAATCCCCTCATGAGCAAAGGAAGCAACTTGGTCCTTCTGAGCATGTGTTCTTCCTCATGTGGAGAGAAGGTTGTCTTCACAGTCTGTCTGTTAGTAAAAGGAGAAAAAAGTAAAAGGAAGGGAAGGGAAGAGGCTCTGATGAGACCAGCTATAGCTTTGGTCAAGGCGGGTCTTAAGCTGGGCCCTTCTGTGGCACTGATTTGTTTAATATGAATAAGGCAACTCTCTATTCTTGATTCTGGAAGCAAAGAGTAGATGAACAAAGGACAAAAGCACACAGAAGAGAGACTCGGAAGGAAGAGGAAGTTGAACAAATCATGGTGGAAAGGACAGGGGTCAGAAACAGTAGGAAAATCAAAACTGAGTAGAAATAGCTCAAAGGAAACGGCAAGTCCTATAACTACATTACTTTGTAGTTTTAAAGCTCCACATCTCTAAAGATGAATATAGATTTTCATTTAACAAATTCAGCATACTGCCGTTATCATTATCAATACTCATGTGCATTTTTTTCCCCCCTCAGGTAAAAGGCAGGATTACCATTGACATCAGCCATGAGGAATTCTAACTCAAAGTTGTAGGATGCACCATTTTACATGCAGCAGCACATCAACCACGATTGTCCTATCTACTGATGCTGGTAACGGTGCAGCCATGTGAGCAACAGGGAGCATGTGAACAGGGACTTTATTGGGGAAAAAAAGCATATGAAAGAAAGCATATGCTGGACTTTCTGATTCCCCAGCATACATCATTGGCCATTTTTGCTGTGCTCCTCATTCAAGAATATTAACATTAATTTCTCCTTGGTAAAAACTGTAGATGGTTTATTCTTAGTCACTTAATTCACTTACAAAGGCAATTAATTCACAGATACCACCATAGCATGAAACTGCCACCCTTACCAAAGCGGTCCAATAAGCAAAAACATCTCTCTGAACTGTTTTAAGGTTGGGATGGGGATAGCAGCAAAGACCTGAGTCAGCCCCACACACTGCCCACTGGCTGCTCAGTCAGCCTTGTTTGATTACTTTGCACGTGTGCCTGCTTGCTGCAGGACACAGCACCTCGCTCTGTCTAGCCAGCCAGCACTCAGAACAAATTACTCACAGGCAGCAGCTCCTGGCAAAGTCACCTTCCTGCTGCAGATCTCCCAGGAGCTCCTACGAAGAGCATCTCAGTCTCCAGGTAAATATGTGACAAACAAGTGTTCATGTTGCATCAACAGAATGACCCACCTTTTCCAAATGATTCTCACTCCAGCAGTCTGTATTTCTGCTTCCAAAAACTGGGTGGGTTATTGCAGATAGTGCTTGACCAAATTATTTTGCTGAATGTCTCCTGATAATTCTTGAAGACTTACCAAGTATGTAGCTAAACGCTAAGGCTGCACCATTCTACCTCCCAGCTGCAACAGAATGGCTTGAGTTGGAAAGGCCTTCAAGGATCATAAAGATCCTATACCACTCCCACCCCTCCTGCCACAGGCAGAGCTGCCAGTTGCTATCTCAAGTACTCGATCAGATTGCCCAGGGCTTCTCACAAAATCAAACAATACAATGAACTGTTGAAAACCATGCTGAAAGAAATGGGTGAGTAAGATGATAAAAATAATGGCAATAATATTCAGGGAATCTGATGATGTGGTTACTGTTCAGGAGGTTAAAAAAAAAAAAAAATTAGAAAAAAAAAAAATCACAGAAATGGAGAAGCATCCAGTCTAGCCTTGAATACCTCCAGGAGCAGAGCAAACACAACCTCTACAGGCAACCTGCTTCAGTACCTCACCATTCCCTCAGTAACGTCACCAGGCTTAGCTAATCATCAAGTTAGACTACAAAATTTTCTCTCTCAACTTCAACACAAATCCAGAAGAAATTTAAAAATAAATCATTTTACATGCTAAAAATCACCAAACCTCAAAGAGATTTTCTCTGGAAACTCAGACAAGATAAACCACAAGGATATAATATAGTAATCTTATACTACTTTGGTTCCAAGGAATAAAAAAAGCATATAACACAGCTCAGTACAGTGGTCAGTTTTATTATGTTGGAATCCACAAATGAAAATTCAGCTTCGCTTTTGTCAGGTACTCTGTTAAAATAAAAATAAAAAAGAAGAAATATATGTAAAGTGGTTAGCAGCAACACTGCACATTTCTTTCATGGGTAATTTACTGTGGAACAGATGTCAAATTCTCTCTTGCTATTCAGATTCAAAGGCAAGCCCTAGTCAGGCTGCTGAATTCACAACCTATCCACACTGAAAGTGTATTATTAATGATTCTCCTGATAATCAGCTAACAGAGAAGTTGACTTCCTTCAATAAAAACTACATCTATAATAGCCTTCTACGAAAAGAATATCACATTTGTCCACGTGTACTTAGTAATACAGAATGAAAGACACTATCATTTCCTCCCCAGAACAGCATCATAGATTTTTCCAGTTCTCCTGACTCGGACGTCCCTGAAGCCAGCTGCCCCAAGGAGCTCGCTGTACTCAGCTGCTGTTCGTTCCTTTCCTTCTGTCTGCACCAACATGTTCAATGAATACAGCTGGGTTTCCACAGGTCCGCTTCTGTCTCCTCTCAGGAGTGATTCAACCAGTAGCACTCCACCACCTGGTTGAACAAAGAGTGTTATGAAAACCCTGCGAAGATGGGATGTTTTTCAATTGAGTTGTTAGACCAGATCCTATTCTGTTCTTTCCAGAAGCAGCAGCCTCTCAGTTAAGTCTTGTTTTTTCATCACAGAGGACAAGAAGGGAGCAAAGTCATTGGAGCATCACACTTTTTGGCTACCCCGTTGCTGAAGCTGTGTGATCCATATAACTAATGGGTGGGAGTCTCCCTTTCTTTTCCCCAAAGCTCATACCTACCAGGTCTGCAGGCCTTATAAACTTCTGCCAGCAGCTGCCCACATTTTTCATCATTCCAATCATGCAGTATCTTTGATAAAATGTAGAGGTCAGCTTCAGGGATTGAATCTTTAAAAAAATCTCCTGTAAAGCAAAATACGTGTTCCACACAAAACTCCTGAAACAAAGAGGAGGTTCAGCAAGTATCTTTTGTTCTCTTAAGATCTAAGGACTCTGGGTTTGACCCATGACCCACATCAGACCTCAACAGACTAACCCACTAAAATGGAGCTACACCATAAATCCATCAGGAGAAAACACATGTTTGCACCTCCTAACACTAGTTACACAGTCATGCCTTTTACTCAGCATCTGGTGTACTGCATTTACTGCATTCATATCTTTCTATTCACAGCTTACTTTCTCATCAGCACTCCTAGTTCTTCACATCACTATACATATACAGCCTTTCCCCTGTTTCTTCATCTTTGCTTTAACATATTTCTTCCCTTCTTCAAAAGCTTCTTTCTTTTCTCATAACTTTAAGCAATACTAAGTCCTTTCAATAAAGATTTCTGAAGACATTAAACACAAGATGTCCCTAAACACATTTTCATCACAGATGGTACAAAGGCTATTTGAGGACCGGATAAGAGTAACATGGGTTAGCTCATCCACATTCAAAGCCTGAAATATGACAGCAGTCTAGCAATCACAACCAGGGAGGGAAAACCCTTGCTCAGAGCAGGGGAGGTGTTCCATGCATCTGCTAGAAGGCCTATACAGGAGATGAGGGAATGTAAGTGAGCTTGCAACACAGCATGGCAGTTGTTAAAAAGCTGTGACGATACAACCCTGACAGATTTGCTTTTGGGAGTGCTTAAAGATATTTAAGCTGCTCTGCACACCAACTTTGGCTGTCAATACTTTCACGTTGTCTGGATAAGTGACTAATTCAAGGCAGTGTTGAACAAGAGCACTTTTGGTCACCAGTCTCCCCAGTGAGCAACCAGCCATAGGCAACCCATGCCCACCACAACCCTGCAGGCCTACATCGCCCCACCACTGCTAGCACCTTCCCACAGAGATGTCTGCACCTACCTTCATGGAAGGCAATCCGTCGCTCCTCTGGGGGAACCAATCGCTCTTTGGCCACTTGTACAACTTTGGGCAGGTCATAAACTGTGACTGTGCAATTTGGATACAAGAAAACACATTCTTGGGCCAGAGCTCCTCCACCACCTTTGTGGAGAGAAAAGTAGATCAGTGCTGAAACAAAACCACCTTGTTCTGCACACCTACTGTAAAGCAACATCAGCAGTGGTGCATCCAGCTCTATGGCACCTGATGGCGTATGTTTGTCCTCAAGCGCCATAGAAAAGGAAGAGGAAGGACGGGAGTGGCCATTCCAGCCTGCAGGGTCAGCTCCAGCTCTTACAGCCCTTACACAGCACCTCAGCCAGTGGTGGGTCACAAAAGGTGGGAAGTGAAAAACAGAGCTGCCAAGTGAGGGATGGAGCAGTAAGGTAACCTAACAGGTTCCATAAATCTCAGCAGTGCTCAGCAGCAATGGGGAAAGAGAGTGCAGGCATAATGGCACATCAATATAATAGCAATGACTGTAGAAGAAAGAGTCTCTGGCACTGGAAGAACATATCAAGCAAGGAAATACAAAATAGCAAATCTGACATGTAATCGAGATGAGCCACTATACGCACATATGAGAATCCACAGACAAAAACTTGAGCTTCCTAATACACCAATCTAATATTTTTAAAAAACACATTCAGAATGAGAAAACATCCCTCTGTTGCTGACAAGATTAAGATATACCCTTCTTTCCATTGCTTTGCCCATCATATAAAATAGAAGATGCTCTTCTGTATTTTTTTAATTTGCCTTCCTCAAGCTTGGAAAAATAATTCAGAGGCTTTTTGAAAAAGATCTGCTGATGCTCACCTCCCAGGTCATAAATCTGTGTGAAAGGAGAAAGGTCAAATGCAGTAAGTACATCTCTGCCACATATACTCCAGATTGAGTTCTGGCCAGCCAAGAATTTCAGCATTTCTTCTTCTGATCTAGTAACAGACACAGCATACAGAAACGTAACTTAGAAATGTAACTCATAGTATTCTTAGTGACTCTTTATCATAGAATTCTTACTAAGAAATTTAGCTTAAGCATTGATATCTCATTTTATTTGCAACCAATATCTTCCCTTTGCACATAAACCTAGCTTGAGACTTATCCAGCAAAAAGGAATAGGTAGGCACTGATGCACTTGAATTGGGAATTAAATATAGCAAAGTCAATGAGTGCACTACTGCTAGTTCTTGTACTTCAGGGAGACCTGAGATTTCTTTTTCATAATAGGAAATCATACATTCCTATTCAAAATATCCAAGTGTTCCAGTAATGGATATTGCTGAGAAGGGAAAACTCTGCATGATGTTTTTAATGAATTGAATTCTCACATCACAATATTAAAACTCAATCATAATTAAAAACAAATTTTGCCTACCACAAGAAATATATTTATATTAATATACTAATACCTGTACATGGCTCCAAAGAGGTCTTCAGATGAAATGCCAAAAGCTCTTTCATATTGATTTCTTCCTTCTCTAAAATAGCAATAAAAAAAAAAAAAAAAAACACATTAGCATATTAGCATGGATTCCTTCTTTACTGCAAACACACACAGGAGCTGAGGTTAGTAGACAGACTATATGTCTCTGTGCCATGGATGTAATGACATCCCTGCCTGCCACTCCCAAAAGGTGGCGAAATATTTCAACAAGAATGTCTTGTTCTCCATGGAACTACATTTGAGGCAGAGGTGCAAAACTGGTGTGATGATCACCAGTCACCACCTTCGTGCATAGCCAGTTTGTTCGTTTGTTGCAGACTAGAATAAGTGAGACTCCATGCCCTACAGTGAGCTACTCTATTATGCCTTTGCAATACAAGTATCCTTAGTCATTGCTAATCAACATTTATTTTGATGTCTCCAAAAATAAAAGCAACTGCAATGAACAAGTTGTCTCCCAAATACCAAAACACACAGAGGTCCTTTCTAGGTCTACTCTAGGGAGGAGATAGGAGGAGAAATGGACAAACATGCAGTAGCAACAGCAGTAGTTTTTTTTTTTTTTTTATTTTCTCAGAACTATCCAACATCTTCTGTGCCCCTTCTAGGGACGCTAAGAAGAGAAACACAAATGTAGCAAAGTAGCCTGCAGCACCCACATCCTCCTCCTCACCTCACAGCATCAGTCAGGTAGTGCCAGCACAAGTAGACGGTATTGGAGTAATACATCATAATATGATACTGAGACTTGGGACTTGACTTCGTAAGGTAGATATTGGAAATTTCTGTGTTTCTGTAGAAGGCTAAGAGGCGAAATAAGTACATTTACTAACATATATGATATCATCTTGCCAAGCCCATTGTACAGCATGATATATATACACATTATCAGAACATATCTGTACATCCCAACAGAGAAACATGTTGCTTCTACACTTAGTTCTTCCAAAGGTAATGCGTAGCACAGTATTCTGGGGGTGGTGAGGGCTGATGAAACCTGCACTGTCCCATTCAGCATGGGTAAACACTATCTACCTGTGTTTCCTTCAGAGTCAAACATCTCAGGAACAGTAAGAGGAACATTTCGTAAGGTTCATTATTTATCTACATGCTTCTGCTGTCAGAATAATTTCCCTGAACTCCTAGAGCACCTGCTGTAAGCCTGAAACGGGGCAAGAAAACACAACCACACCAGGACTCAAACATTTCAAAGTTCATCATCACTAGCTGTCTGATGGGCACAGCCTTTTCTGATTACATGGACTCAAAGACTTCAGCGCAAGATGGAATTCCTCTCACTTCTCAGTTCAGACCAGAAACCTAACAAGCTCCTTTCACACAGTGGTAAAACTTCCAAAGAAAACAAATGTGCTTTTAAGTTGCCTTCACATTTTGTTTTAAAACTTAAAATCATGACCACACATCAGACTTCTCTGGAGACAAGCTCTGTAGTGATAGTTATCTTGTACAAGATCATTTAAAGCTCTTGCACAAAGAAGTTTAAAGATAAAGGAAACCCCAAGAGAGAGTTTCTGTATGTCTCCAATCATGCTGACATTTCCTGCTTCTCTTTCAGATGATCTCTTCTTTAAGCTATGGTAACCAGCCTAAGACTAGGTATCACCTTTCCTCACACTTGACCTCAGTTTCAAAATCATGAGAACTTTAAGAGTTTTCATTTCTTCCTTCTACCCTTTAAAGGGTGCAAAGAAGATGGAGCCAGGCTCTCTTTCATGATGCCCAGTACCAGGACAAGAGGCAGTGGGCACAAACAAGAATAAGGGAAGTCTGAACACCAGACAGTACTTCTGTGTTGTGTGGGTGAAAAAGCACAGGCTCCCAGAGGCTGTAGAATCTCCTCCTTGGAGATCTCCAATAGCTGCCTGGACATTGATCTGGCCACCCTGCTCTGGGTGGCCCTGCTGGAAAGGAGTTGGACCAGATGAACCCAGAGGTCCCCGTCAATCTCAACCATTCTGTGATTCCCCTTCATCTTCCTTCTTTACCTCCTTCTCGTCTCAGCTCTACTGCCAAAAGCTTCAATCCCACACAGGCATCCAGAAGTCTTTCCATCCCCATGATGCTTGTACCCAAGCGTGCAGCAATGACATCTAAAGATAGAGGTTGTCCTGACTCCAGCAGAAGATCAAACACTCCTAACTCACAGGCAGTGAACATAACCTGGAAGTGAGAGGAAGGGCTCAGGTGAAAGTACCAAAGTTAACTTCATTTCCAAGTTGCTTTGTTGGAGAAAATATACACATAATAAAATATCTTTTTACCTGAAAAAAAAATTATTTCATATGCACAAGTCCAGCTGAATATTCTCTAAGCACTGATAATGCCATAGATTCCTTATAGTGCCACCTTATTTTTATGTTTACTAGCCAAACCAAACAGTTTTTTTTCAGACTTACAAAGTTCATGCTTAAGGGCCATTCTTCAGTTGTAAATGTTCTTGATTTTAGCTTTGTTTCAGAACACATTTACAAGTCTCACTTGTTTGGTTGCCTTTTTTTTTTTTTTTTTTTTGGCTTGGAGAACTTAAGCAAAGGTAAGACTGTGAGTTTGTTGGCTTTATGTTTTGTTGGTTTGGTCTTATTCAGAGGAGGGGGTCATTCTTTTTTTCTTTCTTTTTTTTTTCCCCTCCCCTTTCAACTAATTATTTAACATATGCTATAGGGAAGGGGTGGATATCCCACTCTGTAGACCCTCTTTGAGTAATGCCCACACACGACTGATTAATTTTCAGGTACCAAAGTCCATAGCTACAGCAGAGTCTCCAGGGAAGGGAGTTTTGTCTCAACCGAGACGGCAGCCTTATTCAGGCCAACAAAAATGCACTGTCTTCTCAAAAAGAGTGAAGGTGTGTGTATAAGCTTTAGAGAGAAGCCTTAAGACAGACATACACAACTACACATAACAAGAAAAATATCCTTCTCTAGCTATAAACAGTCAAATTTGTAAGTAACAGATAACATATTTCATTGGCCACCTGAAAGCCCCACAAAACCTGCGTAATGTCATCAGCTCATTGGACTACTGATATCTACGGTGATTTGATAATGTCCAAGGGAAGCTACTCTTACCCTCAGAAAGAACAGCATGGCTTAACCAAAGTTGAGACTGTTTCTCAAAAACACCATATTGCTTTTAATTTTGAAAGTGCTGGGCAATCTTATTTCTCACCAAGCAGAAAGGTCTGTCGTCATCTATTTTTTCCTCTCTTCACTAAGTGTTCTGCACTTCTGGAGCCTTTGGATTCAGCAGCATTTACAGACTTCTGAAGTGTATTCTTTTTGTTACCATGTTGGCTAGAGGTGCAGCAGAAGACAGTAGGAAAGATAACTAGAGTTGTAAATGGAGAGAAAACCTCCACTGCATTGGAAGACGGGATTTTTCTGCCTATGTCCACACACAAAGGCAAACATCAGCAAGTGTTAAGGAAATTACAACTATTCATTCTAACCTTGTGCCATGATCAGATGCTGTCTGGAAAAAATAGCTTTAAAGAAGACCATCCTTTTAAAGTCAAAAAGTGACAAAAAATGGAAGTTACCAAAAATTGCCTTCTGCAAAATATAAATCAAAAAATCATGTGAGAAGAAAGGAAACTCTCTCAGAACATATCTGAAAAATCTCACCATTTGTTGGGTATGAAAAGGGAAAAGGCAGAAACACAAGGCAGTCTTCTGGCTCTCAAACTCCAAACAAAAAAAAAAAAAAAAAAAAGAGAAATCCCATGATGTAAGGAGCCTTGCTCATTTGAGGCAGACAACAAGTTCTCAGCTATAAAGCACTGTGCTTTCAAAGCCTCCAGCAGCGACAAGATCTGCTCATCCTAAGGTCAGTGGGATCTCAATAAACATTAACTCTAACCTGAGGAGCCAAAGTTCTCAAACTTTTGTCTTCTCAAATTTCCTTCACAGCTAGATGAGGAGATAGGATAGTTTCCTATGAGACAATTTTCTTTCTAAAGGTTTAGATTAAGGAACTAAGGTGAGATCCTTGAGTATTTCTTTCACTTTGCTTTTAAGATTTCTATCCAAGACTGATTTATGGTTCTTACCTTTGAGACTAAAAATCCATTGCTGTATTGAAAGATGATTTGAGGATAGTCAAGGTCTTCTGTGGAGTCCATCTTCCTTTAGTACTGAGGCACAGGTTCTCTGCTCCTCTTAATTTAAATAAGCTTCTTTCCACTAGGCACAGCACATCAGCTGATCCACTTAATCTCATTGCTTCTGAGAAACACTTTGGTTAACAAACACATAAGCTAAGTTATTTACCTTCAACAGTTTTTTTAAGGCAGCCTCAACTATTTCTTTGCATCTTTCATAATCAAGAACCAGGCTAAGAAGTGTTGGTGCAGATTAAAGCAAATACCATTGGTTCAGTGGTCAATTAACATGACGGTATTTCAGAAACAACTGAAAGTTGAAGATGTCTGAGGAAAAAACGAGCTCTGAAGATCACACTACAGAGCAGATATGAGGAACCTGAACTCAGTATAATGCACCAGTTCATAAACCAAACCCAAGTCTTATCCTAGGCTTCTTCAAAAGCAGCTCTATCCCATCACACTGATGTCTTGATGCTGAGAGACATTCCTAGTACAGGAAGCCCAATGAAATGGGACCAGAGGACAGAAGACAACTTGGTGGCATGCTTCTTCAGAAGTGAAACTGGGACATTCTCATGGGTTATGAGTGGAGGAGCATCCACTCAGTTCAGAAAGGTCTAGACATCCTCCTAGCCAAGCCAAGCATCTCTGACCTTCCCAGTTTCACTCATCCATCAATCATCATGAGCTAGGAGACACACACAATCTTTACCTTGACACCACTGAAACAGGGACCTGTTCAGATTAGAATAGCATGACATCAAGGCTTAGCCATACAATTTAAAGAATGGCATAACTACTGCAAAGCATGCAGGAGGGGACCAGAGAAGTGCTGTGACAAGCACAAGTCCACAGACTGCCATGAAGCACACTCCATAGGCTATCCATAGGCACAGAAACAGCAAGACCAAGGAGAGGCTACAAGAGCCTGTCTGCTGTCCTGCTTTGTCACAGTGATCAATTTGTTCTGACAGTTGTCACGCAAGCAAAGTCTACCAAAAAAAAAACAAAAAAAAACACACACCCCTAAACTTACTCCTCATGTTTTCCTTTATTTTGCAGGTGACCATGAGATGACCTCCAAATGACAGACGTGGAATAGATGTCATCATCATCAGCCCCACTGTTCATTACACCAGCTTGTAAATGCTGGTCATCATGCCCTCAGCATTTTGTAAAAGCAGGCCCTTTCTAGAAAGGAAAGAATCACAGTTTTTATATTACACATTTAGTGACCCTTCAATCAATAAGATTAAATCAGACCTGACTTGGGTGATATGGCCATGGCAACATGCTACAAAATAATGCTTTTCCAGTTGTAGTTTTTTTCCGTGCTTCAGCAGTAAGGTTAACAGTCAAAACCTGAGCAATACAATGCAGCTCAACACTTTGTGTACTTTATCTCACTGCATCTTTAAAAAGGTGCACTTACAGTACTGTCCCAACATAAAATTTTGATGTTCTCCTTTTCCTAGGAATTAGGGTTCTATTTATCTGCAACTGCAGAAGGCCAGTTCAGTGCTTTTCCTTCGATCCTACCTCATTTTTAGAAGAAACAGGCCAATTCAGTTTCCTATACTTTCCTTTTTGCCACTCTGAGGATGCAGCAAAACTTTAATAACTGAAAGTTTCCTTTTGACAATCCATATTTTCTATTATGTTCCTTTCATTATAGCCAGAAAATACTGTATTTGTTTTAGCCAGTAATAAAACAGTGAAATATAACTAGCTAACTGTAACTAACTCTTGAAGTAGTTATCAGCCTTTTTCCCTTCTGTACACAATGCAAAAACCATCTATGTTTCCTATATTCTATCAACACAAGGTGTACTGCATTACCAACGCGTTTCTGCCAGACATAAAAAAGCTACAGCTCACCCAAACTGTACAAACAGAGTTCACCATCCTGGACAACACAGCCTGCAATTACAGTGTTATGGCCTTGCCTGATGTGTCTGTACAGATTAGATTCTGCTGGTTTTGTATTGTGAATGCTGCAGATCAAACCATACATCCTTGCCCGCGACTGTAAAATGTGAGCTGATGTATACAACAAGAGGTGGCTTCTTTGAAGGAAAACTAGACAACAGATTCCAATAACACAGCTACACTTAAAAAAAAAAAAAAAAAGAGCATCTTCCCCAGCTATCCCCACACCCCAAAAGATATTGACTAATCACAGCTATCATTTAGGTAATGCATATTGGAATTGTGATTCTGCAAATTTCATTCACTTCACCAAATCTAAAACCGTTCTCCCCTATTCCTCAGACCCATTCTAAAGACAGTTCTACAGGAAAAGAAAACGCTTAAAACATCTCAATTCTCGTAGTTCTAACTAAATAACAAAATGGTTATGTGCATGGCTGATAGAGCCTAGCAATGAGCCATAGATCCACTCCACTTGAGGCAAAGTTGTAGGTACAAGAGGCTCTGGTTATAAAACAGCCACACAGTCGATTAAACCACCTGGAGTTCTTTTTCAATTGACTAAATGCATCTGTCAAGGACACCAGATGCAATCATCTAATGGGATTACTACCAGCAGAGAGATATAGGGGAGGAGGGTTACGGATAACTCACATCAGATTGATCTAGAGCCACATGTACTGTGTTGCTGTATCCAAGTAAACTTTACTGGGGCTTAAAGCCTAAGCCCCTTGTAAGCTAAAAATGCATTCATGGAGATGAACTTGCAGTGGATTTCTGCCTCTGAAAACCCCATCAAGGTTTTTGTCATAGTACTTAGATCACACTCAGGCTAAAGCTGATACTTTATCTTCAGGTTTCTGCTCTGGTAATAAATTCATCTTTGCACTACAGACAAACATGACAAAAACAAAACACCATTTTTGTATAATGCTTAAAAGAAATTCTTAATGAATAAAGCATATTTCAAGTGAAATTAATGTGCCTGCTGGTGAGAAATAACAGCTGACAGTATTTTCATGCATACAACTTTCTTTATGAGCAATAAGTCTCGGGGACACGACAACACCATCAAGCTTCTGTAACACTACCATGGAAACAACTGCTCTCACTAACATTCAGCCTCTGAACATACTGAGCTTATTGTCAGGAGTCTGTTGGCCTGGAAGTTCATTAAGATAATAGATGGTGCTTGTTAGCAAAGGACGCTAACAAGCCAAGACAGTATCATACTTTTTCTTTGTCAGAACATTCAGCTTCAATGAAACTTTCTTCTTTTTCACTTCTTGTTCTTCTCATGTTTGGCTACCAGTTTTGAAAACAGCTAGTTTTAGTTTTTCCTGTTTACATCACATACAGTACTGGCAGACATTTGTAGCGGGCAGGAAATCCTGTATACCCAGCTCAGTCTCTTTCCCCTTTCTCAGCAGGAACTCTGATTGAGAACATATTTGAAGCCATAAGCAATCTGTTACTTCCAAACTGAGCTTCAGTGACAAGTCTCCCCATGGCTTGACATAGGTAAGCACCCCTCTTATCACCTGCTGACACATCTCAAATGCTTGTTACAGCCTTATGCTCTTTGTGATCAACATTCAGGGCAGACAGCAAAAGGGAAAGACACTGACAGTCCTTCCCTTTCCTGGTTAAGGTAGACAGTAGCAGACACTCCTACTAGTACTTCCTAGGAGATTACTCAGGCATATTCCCATAGTCATGCACAGAATTGCAGGGAAGATCTATCCCTGCAAGATGATAAATACTTGCTTGGGCACTTGCTGCTGGACAGGTTGAGACTTCTGGGCTGAAGACTGCCCAGAGAACCCCCACACCATCAACCCTTTTCTTTGTCCTACAAATAATCGTTTCAAGGATGGCACTCCTGAGCATCCCACCCAGACCAGGTGGAACTCACTTTACAGCTGCCACCAGTGCACATGTGACTAGATTAGTTATCAACTGAAGAACATTCCAAACAGCTTTATACTTTCAGAAGTTGTACCTGTACCTATGGCAAAACCAATCTACAGATTTATTGTTAGGTAGCAGAAGATGCTGTTGGGGCCATACAGCGTGAAAGAGGAAAATTGGTACAGTGTGCTTTCTGTATTATGATTAGGAAAACAAAACAAAACAAAACAAACAAACAAAAAAAAAGGCCATGCATTACAGGCCTTCAGTCTTCCGATTAGGTACAACAGAAAAATACTGGTACACTTCCTTTTGATACCAGTAAAGTGACACTTACACATAAGAACATAAGACAGCAATGGGATAGCTTCCACATACCCCATACTGAAGGAAGAATTGCAACCCGTTTGCAGCCTTAAACACACTCTAGAGACAGCTCTGTAAATTTATTGTGATGCTGCAAGAGAGACTGTGCAATTAACATGCTTGTCAGGCTGGAGAAGGACCACGTCAATATAAACTTAATGAAATTAAGTACGGGGGGTTGGACTCGATGATCTCTGGAGGTCCCTTCCAACCCCTACAATTCTGTGATTCTGTGAAATGACTGTTGCATCCAGATTATAACCAAACCTCAAAGGCAGCATATCAGACATAGGCAATGCATATATTTTCTTTTAATCATAATTTAAAAAAGATTTAACCTGTATAACAATACAAGATAACAGAGGTTGTTTCTCCTTACCCATTTATAAATTAAGGCACATACCAAACTACTCAGTTTAACTGTTGCCTTAACTAATACCCCTGCTTAACTAATACCCCTGCTCTTAAACATGAGCAGCTGCAAGTCTCTTACACAGTGTGTTCAAAACTGCCTTAAAGCTGACACCTGTGATGTCCAGACTGCACTGATCAGTCATCAACTACACAATCCCATATTTGCTATGTTGGAAGCCAGTGTTAAAATTACCATTTACTCTTAACAGTTTTCAAGACGCTATTTTCACATGACATTTGAAGCGTTTTATTAGCACAACCTAATCATCCATATCCCTTTATTTTATGTCACTGAATAGCTTACTCTACAAAGGCAGACTCAGTTAGAAGAAATACGGATATAGTCATGGTTTTAGTAACCACTTCTTACTCATCCCGATTACTTCTGGCAGTAAGACTTGCCCATTATCAAAATTACCACGGCAACCAGTAAGCAGACGAAAAGCCTCACAAGAGACTGAAGGGCTTGGAACATTCCTGTGTATAGGAAGTAGTTTCTGTTGAATAAGCTACTCTTCCAGCCATATTTCAGATAAAAACACTGATATCAATCTCTATTTCCAGTCACTTTGCAAGGGAAATAAATAGGAACACTAACAAATGGGATAATACATGTATAACTTTGATGCAATGAAGCAAAAGTAATGCATATCTCACGGCAAGTGAAAGCAAGGAGTAAGAGTCAGATAACCATTGGTACATAATTCTCATAGCCCAATTTCAGGAGTTAAAACATGCAAATAGATACCTTTGCAGAAATTCTCACAGTTGGATTTCTAGCAGCTAAATGCCTGAGAGTAAAGTTAACAGAGTAGCCTTACGTGTTAGTCAGTATCTGTCCAATATTCACCATATCAATATAAATTCAGTACTTCAAAAGCATTTTGGGATGTCTTTGATAATTATTAGCTGTTAACTCTTAATGAATGTTAAAGAAGGTAAAGACCAACTAATTTTTTCAGCTCCTCAAAGTCAGTCCTGCAAATACAAGCAGACAATCAGCATCACAATGTTCTTCCAGAAGAGAGTAAAATATCAGTGACTGTAATATGTAATCTTCTAGAAGCCATTATAAAGCCTGCTGGTATTCCAGATTCTTTCATTTGAAACACAAAGACCTCTAAAATGCACTTGGTAGAGATACAATGACATATAATCAATACAGAACAAGTGATTACTATCAAAAATAATGTTCTCCATGTTATCGCACCACCGAGGTTTTTGAAGTATTACAAGCACATACCTCAACAATAAGAAAAAAATTTTAATAGATGGTATTGGGCAGAGCAGAACATAATTATAGCTGCGTTCGTATCAAAAGATTACAGTCTCAACAAGTTTCTTTGCAGTTCAAAGACATCATCAATGCTGAATTTGGGAACCAATAGCACAAACATGGTGGCGCCCACTACAGTTCCACGGTACATCCACACTTATCACAGAATAGAAAAATATCTGAACAGGTTTTAAACTGACTGCCTTGTGGGTGCTGTTGGTTACTTGCAGTACAAAAGCATTCAGCTATAGGCATCATTATCAAGGCCATATAGAGTGAAATAGACTAGAACATGCCAAGTCCTGGGTTACCAACAGATAGAACAGATGGAGTAGACAAAGAAGTTGGTCTATAAAGAAGTACCACTGTACCATGCCAGTCATTCAGCTGACAAAAAATTATCTTGCAGTCCCAGGTACCATAGGATGGCATTATTATTTTTTTTTGTTTTGGAGTCCATGTCACTGTGCATCTCACTATGTAACTGAATAACAACAACCAAGCACCATCAACCTGCTCACTGCTATGAATGAAGTTAACGTTAGCCCAGCCAGACCCAGGTTACAAGGAAACAGGATGCAATATTCATTTCAGTGGATTCAGCACCGGAAAGACTTTGGAGAGCTTTGAAGCAAAACATGCATCTGAAACAATACCTCAAAGTGTTAATACTAGATGAAATTCTGCAGTGAGCATATTTATTGGGCAACTTTAAGCAGCAGTTTTAAGAGGCTGTGATTGGGTCGAGCTGGCTGAAAGACCACTACCTTCATATTCTCTCCTGACATTTAAAGTAAGCATTTGCAAGTAGCTTCAAAGCACTTTTAGGCTTTTAATCAACTGAATACTTTATGTTACTGTACTTTTTGTATGTTGTATGAAGACAGTGCTCAATATGGTGTGTCAGGCTAAACAATCAAAGCCTGACAGATGAACATCCTTCCCCTTGCCTCTGTCAGCCCCTAATTGCTCTGACCTCAGACACTGCATTGGACATCAGGGGAACTTAACCTGAATTTAATCACTTCAGGCTGGGATATCAAGCCTACTCTTGGTGCCTTCTTTAGAGCGAAAAGCCAAACCACCTATCCAGCACTGCTTTCTTTTGTATCGAGAAATAATATCTCTTGGATTTTCCTAATATGAACACTTTTTGATGACTGCCACTGCCTTAAGCGCTTTCATATCTGGCAATAACACAGTGCATTAACAGCCTGAAGACCTCCTGAAAGTAGCACTACATACTAGCATTACATATATTACATATATGTAATTACATATATTAATTGCCAAGATCCTGACATAAATCCCAGTGGAAATCCACAGGATACATTGTGGAAATACTAAACTAGTAAGAATCCTAACCCTGAGCTCAAAAACATTGGTATTGACAGCCTTAGGTCAACTCCTTACAGAACTGCAGATGGAATCACAGTTGTTTTTTTTTCCCCTTCCCTCAAATATGACGTTACCATGGATAGCACATCAGTTATTTGATAGCAGGCTAAAGAGAGTCACAGAGGTTTACAAACAGGCATTCCATCAAAACTTGCAATCAACATTATAGTGGGTTTCAGCCAAACTGTTACAAAATATAAGTTTATCTTCAACTAGATAGATTTCTAATACTTCAGCAAAGACTGTAGAAAATTAACTCATCAACAAAAGCATCTGCTCAGAATTCAGGAGACTGGTGGTATTGAGATGACTAGATAAATCAGTCTGTGGATTCAAGGAGAGAAACAAAGAGGCACTCCCCACATCAGGGTAGGGAAAACTGCACCCCAGGAGCACACATCCTGCTGAATTAACAGTGGATGCAGCTGTAAATGACAGGACTGGCAAGACAAGCAGCTAAGCCTCATTATTCAAATGTTTGTTTGTTTTAAACAAAATGATTCTCATACAACAATTCTGCAGATATTAACATACTGACACATGAAAACAGCGACTTCAGTTCACTGGAAACAGGTTTCTCTTTAATTTTACCATAAAAAGGCAAAATAAACTCTTTCACTGTAACGTTATAGCTTTTCATATTCCTGAGCTCCATTTTAGAAGCAAATGTAGTCTTAAATGCATTTAACAAGAGACACTGCAGCCTTACTTTCCAACACCACAAGTAAAAATAATTTAGCAAGAAGGCCCCTTTTTCAAAAGACAATGGCTAGCTCTGTACGTACCTGAAAAAACGCTTCAAGTGGCTCTAACATCACCCGAAGTAATTAAAAGCCAAGTATGTCAACAAGGCAACAAAACAACTTTTCCACCTTTTTACCACTGCTTTTTACTTCCTACACCAGTGTGCCTTTCTTACATGGAAAGTATTACTACACAAAGGGCATCACATACCAGAATAGCTTGGGCAACAAAGCCTGGCACTATACAGATGTACGAAGGAATCACAGCAGTTTAAAAGATTTCCTGCATATCTTAATAGTCAGTTTTAAGAATCATAAGAAAGTCTTGTTATCTGTCTCAATCAGGAAAAATTCTATTTTGTTAAACATGATTTCATTAAGTACACCAGAAAGCATTTTAGATAAATCTGTAGGTCAAAGCTTGTCACAACTGGAGTTCCTGTAACTGGCACATACATAAGAGAGGAAAAAGTAAATCAGCTGAAATTACAATTTAGAAAACTGAAAAAAAAAAAAAAAAAAAAAAAAAAAAAAAAAAAAAAAAAAAAAAAATCGAGAAAGCAGGTTGGCTTTTAGCACAGTAGGAATTCAAATACGAGCAGTACAACTACATTGTGGTAGAAACCTAGAAAGAGACAACAAAGCACAACAGAACTTCGAAAAATCAGGCATCTATTTTAGGGACTAGATGCAAGTTATGCATTGGTTGAATCAGAAGTGTTTTCTTATAGCAGTCACACCAGTGAGGTCTCATTTACGACTTTCTGGCCCTTGTGTCCAACCACAGCCTTTTCAAACAGTCGGGGCCTCCATTACCCACTCCAAGTACTCCTTTGCTTACTCAGTGATCTCCTCCGGTACCTTCGTTTCCTGCTTGAGCTTCTGCGAC